CTGTTGCCCAGGCAAGTGTTGGGGAACTAGCCTGGGCCCTCGGCGGGCCATGGTGGAACTTCAGGGGGTTATCAGTTCTCTTGCTCCAGGGTAAGGAACGGAATATCCAAATCTCTGCAGGAAAGAAAAAAGAGAGATTTTCACAGATAACGGTTGTTCTATAACCCAAGTGGCAATATAAGAAAAACTCGAGGGTTCAACGGAAGAGCCGTTTTAAAATGTTTAGCTCTCTCCTGGGTTCCCCGGCGAGGCCTGAGTTCCTTCATCTCAGACGAAGGCCGTGGGCCAGGTAACGCAGACAGCGAGAGCCCTTGCAGCCCACGATCTGGGTTCCGCGACCCTCTGTGTCCGGTGTTGGATTTCCCACGCCCTGCGCTGTCACCCTCCCCCGCGCGCGCCTGTTCCCTCCCTCTCTGCGCCAGTTCTGTGTCTGAGGCTCATTGCTCCTTCCCTCGGGGACTAGTCATAGAAAGGCTCTCGTGGCTGGGGTGTGGCTCGCTCTGCACACGCAGTAGCAAAGGGTGTGTGGTGGCTCCGTGCGCCCTGAGCATCCTTCCTACAAAAGCCGGGCGGTGCTGGATGGAAGCCCTGTCCGGGTTCGGCGGGCGCCCGGGGGCCTGGCCTGCCGTGTCTTTGAAGGCATTTCGGACCTCAGTCCCGCCCAGCAGCAGCGGTTCCACTGTCAGGGGCCCGTGGCTCCGGTGCACCCCGTGTTTGACGCCGACTGGGCCACCTGACACGAGCACAACTTGGTGCATTTCAGATCACACGGGGCCCAAGTTTGACATCGATATGTTGGTTTCGCTTCTGCGGCAAGAGAATGCAAGAGACATCTGTGTGATCCGGGTTCCGCCCGAAATGAGATACACAGATTACTTTGTGATCGCGAGCGGAACTTCCACCCGACACTTGCATGCCATGGCCTACTACATCGTGAAAATGGTAGGTAGGACGCTGTCTTCTCCCTTAGGGACCGGGAACTGGGTGAAATGGTGTCAGTGCGTTAGGCTGAGGAGAAACACGTGAAAAGTCAATCTGTCAATGAGATTATATGAGCCCACATTTTCAGAATTTGCGTGTTTTATGTTCTCTGATTGACCAATGTAGTACTGTCAACAATAAAGATTGTTTTAAAAAAGGAAGTTATGGGGACAAATATCCAACCCTAGTGAATCAGGGTATTTCTAATTCTTGTCTTTTAAGAAAATATTAAAAAATAACCTGAGACAGACTAGAGACAGTATATAACCCAGAGGGATTTCTAGAGCAGCACTGTCTGTTATAGTAGCCATTAGCCACATGTGAATATTTAATTATAAATTAAAATTTAAAATTCAATTCTTTATTTGTACTAGGCCAAATTTCAGGTGCTCAGTAGCCACATGTGACTAATGGCTACCATGTTGGGTAGTACAATAAAACATTTCCATAATTGCAAAAAGTTGTATAGGACAGTGCTGACCTAGAGTTAATTCAAATGTTTGAACATGTCCTGTGTTCCCAAGCATGTCCTGTGTTCCTGTGCTGGGTATTGGGAAGGTAAAAATGAGGAAGATTTAGTCCTTACCCTCTGAAGTCACAGTTGAAGAAAGGAAAGGCAGTTCATTTTGCAGCTGTACCCAATATAAATCAGAATGAGGAAGAAAATGTACTAGGCAGCCTTTGCCTGATGCTGATACCACTTTACAGGGAAACATACCTCTCTCACCTTGTTGAAAATTGGACAATTAAGACCAAAAGGGATTGCCTAGAGAAGGGTGGTAAGGTAAGAAGGGGGCTGGCCTTACCCGGTTTGGCTCAGTGGATAGAGCGTCAGCCTGCGGACTGAAAGGTCCCAGGTTCGATTCTGGTCAAGGGCATGTACCTTGGTTGCGGGCACATACCCAGTGGGGAGTGTGCAGGAGGCAGCTGATCGATGTTTATCTCTCATCGATGTTTCTAATTCTCTCTCCCTCTCCCTTCCTCTCTGTGAAAAATCAATAAAATATATTTTAAAAAAAATGAAGGGGGCTGAAAACAGAGCCTTGGTGCCCACACACATTAAACAATGACTTCCCGTTCTCCCTTCTCCCAGCCCCCGGCAACCACCATTCTGCTTTCTGTCTATAAATTTGACTACTCTAAGCACCTCATATGAGTGAAATAATACCCTATTTGTTGTTGTTTTTTTGTTTTTTTGTGACTGGCTTATATCACTTAGCATAGTGTTTTCAAGGTTCGTCCATGTTGTAACATGTGTCATGTTTTATTGTATGTACAACCAGACTTTATGTGTTCATCCAGTGATGGACATTTGCATTGCTTCCCCCTTTGGGCTATTATGAATAATGTTGCTATAAACATGAGTGTAGAAATATCTGTTTATGTCCCAGCTTTTTAAAATATTCATTTTTTAATTATAGTTGATATGTAATATGTAAGTTTCAGGTATATATATAGTGATTAGGTATTTATATACCTTAAGTAATGATCACCATCATAACTCTAGCACCTTCTGGCACCATACATAATTATTACAATATTATTGACTATATTCCCTGTGCTGTGCTTTACATCCCTGTGACTAACTTTATAACTGGCAGGTTGTATTTCTTAATTCCCTTCACCTTTTTTTGCCTATCTCCTCACCTCCATCACTTCTGGCAACCATCAGTTCTGTTTCTTTAATTTCTTGCATTTTTTATTGTTTTGGGAGGGGTATCACCAAGTTAACTTTATTTTATTTAAATCATTTGTGATTTTTCAAGTACAATTGATATATGGTATTGAAATGTGGGGTTTGGGGTGCAGACTTTTCTTCCCATGAGTTCTTGTCCTCATGAAGTTCGAAGAATAAACTCACAGACAAAAAGACTTCTTTAATAAAAAATGTAGAAGCTTATTGGAAGCAGATACAAACTCCATCTGCGCAGGGGTGTCACCAAAGGGGACACCATGGGGAGGGACCACCCCCCATGGGAAGAGCCTGCTCTTTCTCTTTCTAAAGGAAAAAAATTAAAATATTCTGCCTCGTGTCCCTTTGTCTCCAGTTTATGTATGCTGCAGTTCCTAGTTTGAATCTGACCTTTTCTTTTTTTCAATTGTTTTATTGCTTAAGGTATTACAAAGAATATTACATATGTCTCCTTTTTTCCCCCGCCCTTGACAATCCCCTGGCCTCCCCTACCCCCCAGTATCTTATGTCCAGTGGTTATGCTTATATGCATGCATACAAGTCCTTCGGTTGATCTATTACCTTTTTGGGTACTTAGGCTGTTTCCAAATCTTAGCTATGGTGAATTGTGCAGTTATGAACATAGGGGTGCATATATCCTTTCTAATTGGTGTTTCTGTTTTCTTGGGATGAATCTGACCTTTTCTTATAGGTCCCTTTCCTTTATTTAGGACCCCTATGTTTTCCTTATTGGTCATTTTGCTACATAGAATTAGTTTCAAATCTCAAAGCCCACGTGGTGCCCCCCCCCCATTTTCTCTCCCCCTTATCTTGCTGGTTGGAGTCACTTTTGATTTATCTTACGGTTTTCTTCCAGTTGTGCTGGCAGAGAAAGCCTTATCTTATAGCTTTCCCAGCTACTCAGGTCAGGGCTACTTTTGGTCTAACTTATGGTCACTTTAATTGCTCAGGCCAGAGGTACCCCTGTCTGTCCTTGGTTTATGGCTGTTTTAATTGCTTAGGCCAGAAATATTTCTATCTGGGTGTGGCACTTTTCTATCCTCTGTAGAAGTAAGTAAGATAAGCACACCCTGGCATCTTTACTAGTAAGTCTCCATCTATTCATTCCTCTCCCTTGGACCCTCCTCATTCTCTAAACCTCCCTAAACAAGCTACTAGCTAACCCTTTCAGTATTATATTAGTTTCCGGTGTACACCCCAGTGATTCACTATAACTTACTAAGTGCTCATCCGGATAAATCTTGTACTCATCTGATAACATACATGGTTGTTAGAATATTACTGACTGTATTTCCTATTCTGTACTTCACTCCCATGACTATTCTGTAACAACAGATTTGTTTTTCTTAATCCCTTCTCCTCTTTCACCCATCTCCCAGCCCCCTCCCATCTGGCAACCATCAAAATGTTCTCTGTATCTATGAGTCTGTTTCTGTTTTGCTTGTTCATTTATTTTGATTTTTAGATTTAATTGTTGATATATGTGTTTATTGCCATTTTATTGTTTATATTTTTTATCTTTTTTTTTTCTTTAACATTTCATGCAATACTAGCTTGGTGGTGATGAACTTCTTTAGCTTTTACTTGTCTGGGAAGCTTTTTATTTATCCTTCTATTCTAAATGATAGCTTTACTGGATGGAGTAATTTTGGTTGTAGGTCCTTGCTTTTCATTACTTTTCCATAGTGTAAATGTCCCACAGCTTTTTTATCCATTCATCTACTGATGGGCACTTGAGCTGTTTCCAAATCTTAGCTATCCTATATAATAAAGAGGTAATATGTAAATTAACCCTCAGGCCCTCACAAAATGGCTGCCTACATCCAGGCTGGCGGGGGTTAGTGAGGGATGACCAAAGGACTGAACAAGCAGGCTGCTTGGGTAGACCAAGCCAGCAGGGGGGCAATTGGGGGTGACCTGGCCGGCAGCGGGGGGCAGTTAGGGATGACCAGGCAGGCAGGCAGGTGAGCGATTAGGAGCCAGCGGTCCAGGATTATGAGAGGAATGTCCCTGGTATCGGGCCTAAACCAGCAATCAGACATCTCTAGAGGGATCCCGGATTGGAGCCTCCCCCCCGCCCCCGCCTTGCACGAAATTTGCATCAGCCTCTAGTTTAAACATATGCCCCCCTCCGCATGAATTTCGTGCACCAGGCCTCTAGTTGTAAATAATGCTGCTATGAACATAGGGGTATATATTCTTTCTAAAACTCCATACTGTTTTCCATAGTGGCTGCACCAGTCTGCATTCCCACCAGCAGTAAACTAGTGTTCCCTTTTCTCCACATCCTTGCCAGCACTATTGTTTGTTGATTTCTTTATGATAGCCATTCTGTCAGGTATGAGGTGTTATTTCATTGTGGTTTTAATTTGCATTTCTCTGATGATATGTGACTGTGAGCAGTTTTTCATTTATCTCTTGGCCATTTACATGTCATTTTTGGAGAAATGTCTGTCAGGTCTTCTGCCCATTTTTAAATTGGATTGTCTTCCTTTTGTTAAGATATATGAGTACTTTATATATTTTGGATATTAACCCCTTATCAAATGTATCCTTTGCAAATATGTTCTTCCATACAGTAGATTTTCTTTTCATTTTGATGGTGGTTTCTTTTATTTTGTGCAGAAGC